CCGGCCCGGGAGCGGCGTGAGCACGCGCAGTCGGGTGTGTGCCCAGCCACAGCTGGGGTGAGAGGAAGGTGGCTGCACCGGCAGGACGGGGCGGCCCTCGGCGGCTCCATGACTTGTCCCTCCAGAACAGAGGGAAGCCACTTCTGGCTCTTTGGGGGTTGCTCTTGATCCAGGACCTGGCAGGCGCTACTTCCAGCGGCCCTGGGACAGGCAGGCTGCACTCATCCTCTGTAATGCTGGGCAGGCCGGGCCGCAGCCACCTGTGGGAGGAGGACCCGGGAGGACTGGAACTGCCTGCAGGGCCCACAGTCCCTACTTGCCACGGTGGCTGGCCCCGGGTCACTTCACACAGGATGGCGGCAAACGGGGGTGTGGGTGGAAGGGACCGGCCCTGGCATCAGGCAGGGGCCATGAGCCCCACGTTTCCCTGCTCCCAAGGGGGGTGCCATAGGCTGCCGTGGGCCCCTCTGCTCATGGCTCACCCCCATGGCTCTCTGGGTCACTCCTCAGGGTCTTTCGTGAATGTCCATCAGGCTAGCCCTCTGCGGTCCCAGGTTGCTGCTCAGCCATAATGCCACCAACCCACCAACTTCACCGCCACTCGGCACAGGAGCTGTCTCTGAGGCCAGAGCACGTCCACGGTGCCCCGTGGGACACGCCCTGTTGACAGCTGGGTAGATGGAGGTGGCGAGCTGGGAGGGTTAGCCGCTGTGCAGGGCCCCTTCGTGGACTTGCGCCTCGTCACGTCTCTGAGCACAGCGGTCTTAGGGGACAGGCGTGCACATCCAGGTCACGGCAGGGCCCGAAGCGGCCTCGCTGCCGACCCTCTGAGTCTCCCCTAGGACAGCATGTGTATGGGCCGGTCAGGGCTCGGCACGGCCTGAAGGTGGTGAGCGGTTCTTGGTGACACGGGCTGGGCAGGCCCCGAAGTTTGATGCTCCCCGCCAGCCCTTCCACCCCGTGGGTGATCCATTCCCGGCAGAGCCGGGAGGCCCCTCACGGTCTTGCAGCACCAGAAGGAAACCTGAGGCATGAAGTGCCAGCCGCCCCGCTGGGAGCTCTGAGGTGTTGGCACGGAAGCCTCGGTCCCCCCCGTGCTGTCGTGTAAGTGACTGGCACTCGTCACGCCGACCTGACTTTCACATTCAAGAAACGGGCGAGCGCCAATGTCTGGGACGAGGCTGGCCAGTCGGGCAGCGGTTAAGCTGTGTGTGGGGGGCTGGACCCCACATGGCTGGCCGTCACTAGGACCCCAGCCCTGGTGGCTTGAAAACATGCTGGGTGTGTGCATTCTAGACCCTGATGGGAGGAGAGACGGAGGGAAAGGATGTGGCCTGAGCACGCCCAGTGGGGGACTCGCTCCCCGCTGGTGAGCACAAACAGCCTCTGGCAATACAAATTTTTTTTTTTTGGAGAGGTTTTCGCTATAGGGCGCGTGCGTTCGCCAGACAGACAGAGAGAGACGTAGAGACAGAAAGCGAGAAATCACCCCCCCCAGGGGGGATGGTCATGCCGCAATCCCTTCTCCTCCATTCTCCTCTTGGGATCTTGGGCACGCATGCACATGCGCTCCGGGTGAGTTCTAAGCCACCGGGTCCGGTACTTGAACCATGGTCGACTACGTGGGAATCCAGTGACATAGCCATTACGCTAACTGCTGGTTCCTGACAATACAGTTTTTTTATGTGAAATATTTTTAATGTGATTTACACGCACGAATGGATCATCCACGGGGTGGGAGGACTGCAGGGAACGTCAAACTGCCCTCAGGAGCCGGAGACCCGCTTGGGAAGCTGCGAAGCTGACGCAGTGACCTACGTGCGGGGAAGGCCTGACCGTCCGGCACACGGCATTGCTGGAGGGCCTGGAGGCGGGGAGAACCCTGCAGGGCTCGCTGGTGGGGAGGAGTCGGGACCCCAGGGCTGCCGGGGAACCCTACTCTCGCAGCAAGGAGGGCAGACCTGGCGGCGGCCCGGCCCCCGTGTGCTGGGGGATGGCCTTGTCCTGGAGCTCGCGGCAGGGACTAGCGGGACGGTTACGGTTGGCTGCAGGACGGCACCGCGGAGGGGAGGGGCTCGGCCCAGGCACGCGGCTTTCACTGCGAGCCCCCCCACCACGTCATGCAGGAGAGCCGCAGGGGGGTACTCAGCTTGGCCGTCTCGGCAGAGAAGGGGTGTGCAGAGCCTGGAGCTCCTGACCGTGGGCAGAGCCCGGTCTCCACGGAGCGGGAGGAGATGCGGGATGCTCACTGCGCTCGGGGATGCCGAGACGCACCGCGAGCACCGGGACGGCGGTGTGAGGCTGACCTGCTGCCGCCTTGCCATGTTTGCGCTGGCAGAGGGCTTGTCACCGAGCTCGCTGGCCGGGGGTGGGCAGAAACTCCCCCAGGAGGTGGGACTGACGGCTCAGGGGTGGAGGTGACACTTGGTTATGGGGCCAGGGCCGGAGGCAGCTGAAGCCCAGGCGGCGAGGTGCCAGGTTGGCAGACCCTGATGTGCTGCCCGCCCACTCCGGCCGTGCCTGTGCCTTGCAGGGGTGAGAGGGGCGGAGCCGGGTCCCAGCGACCCCGGACTGAAGGATACTCACGTGGCAGAACCGCCTCCCCCACCTGAGTCGGGCCCCTACGTCGGTGGGCTGCTCCTAGAAGTTGAGGCCTGCCCCACGAGGAGCCTTCCAGAGCAGACCCTGGGCCCTGAGACAGTCCCTAAAGCTATGGCGTCTTCAGATGGACGCGATCGCTTAGAGAGGGCTGTGTGGCTGGGCCCATGGCGGGGGGCAGGCCATGGGCAGCCCACGCCGCTGTGCCGTCTCCCATAGGCCAGCCCGAGGCAGTCCAAGCACAGCTGTGCGTGCTCAGGCCCCGACCGGGCGGAGGCCTGAGGGAGGGGTCAGAGGATCACTGTGACCCGCCGCTGCCAGGCGCTCCTGGGCGTGTCGAAAGCTTGCAGGTGCACTGTCAGGAATAGAGAAAACAGTTTGTAAACGGTGTCCTTTTTTCAAAGCTGTGTTTGACATAGTGTTTAAAAGCCTTCACATGATGCCAGCCAGTGGCATGGATGTTAAGACTCTGGATCCCTCGTGGCCAGCTTCACGGTTCGAGTCCCAGACCTGGCAGCTTGAGAGTCACTCTGAACACGTGTGCATGTGGGCCCAAAATCCCAAGAAGAAAACATAGGAGAAGAGGCTGTGGCATGGCCATCCCCCCAGGGGTGATGTCTCACTGTCCCTCTCCCTCTGTCTCTCCTCGGCGAGCACACACACCCTATGGCAAAACTTAAAACACAGAACGAAACAGAAGAAGCTCCACACTGCGCTGGCAGCTGTCTGGCCTTGCCAATTCTGCCAATGGCTAGTCGTGACCGGGGGTTCGATGGGTTCCTGCCCAGAGCTTGGAAATGCCTGTCCCTCCCCTCTCTGCTCGGAGTCATACCGCTCTCTGGGAAACAACGCTCCTGCTTCCGTGGTCTGTCTTCCTCGCGGGAACACCTGCGTGCTGCCGCTGGGTGGTGGGGTTGGTCTGAATCTTCATGAAGAGCAGGTGCCGCTGCGGCATGTTTGGGGAAGGCCCAGCCTGCCAGCGGGGCTACTGGCAACAGTCACGGTGTTAAAGCCGTCCCAGCGATGCTCACGCCGTGGACACGTGTGGCCTCGGGAGTGGCGCTCGCGACACGTCGGGGTCTCTGTGGCGCTGTCAGAGAAGCAGCACCTGGCTTGCTGGCTGTGAGTTCACTTTTCAATGATGTCTTCCAGTGTTCTGGGACCAGCCGTGACCTTCAGAGTGCATGCCAACGCCCAAAATGTGACGGCTGCAGAGGTGGCGCAGGCTGCAGGTAAGGCCATACACACGTGTAGCCACACGCACAGATGCACATGTGTGTACACACATACACACGTGTGCACACGCACAGCTGGGGGAGCGCCACGGGCAGCCCAGAGCCAAGTACGCAGCATGGCGGGGCCTGCCGCCTAGCGGGTCACGGGAGGGGGCGGGGGTGCCCATCACCTACGCCTGGCTCTGCAGGGCGGGTCACCGTGGAGCCAGGCCTGGCTACACGTGGGACACAGTGCGGCCTGTGTACGAGGGGAGCACTGGCCTGCGGAAGGTGTGGGGCCCTCAGAGCCCAGGGCGCCAGTGGTCTGCCTGGCACCCGTCCCTGCGTGTCCCCACGTGGGGCCTGGGGGGGTCGGAGGAAACCGAGGGCCTCCCAGATGGTTTGGTGCGTCTCCGCTCACTCACGTTTGAGGCTTTATGGGGCCGTGACTTCGGTATCTGTCGGGAGGTAGAAACCGCTCAGCTCTCCCGAGGGGAGTCCTGCAGAGCTAACGGCAGAGAAGGGATTGTGGTGTGGCCATTTCTCCGGGAGGTGATTTCTCACTTGCCCTCCCCTCCCTCTCTCTCTCTCTCTCTTTCTCTGGCGAGATGATGGGGCATTGAAAGAGGGTCCTAGATCCCTTTTTTTGGGTGCGCTTCCGAAAGAGGGCGAAGGGGCTGCCGATGTCGCCGGCGTCTGGCCCCTAGCCCACCTTGGTGGGACCGCTGCGGCTCATGCTCCTGAAACCCCACAACCATTCAATGTGGATCTCCGAGGCCGGCGACTCCTCATGGCAGATATCTGACAGTAGATTCGAAGGGCGTTTGCTTTTCTGATTTTGCACAAAACAGTCCAGGTCTCAATGCAGAGGCTGTAGTTAACTGGCAGGCCCGGTTGAGCGACATGTGGCAGGTGGGCCTCGTTTGCGGCATGGCTTCCTCACCTACAGCGGTTCCTTGCTGCAGCTCTGCCTGACGTGGGCGTGGGTGTGAGTGCCAGTCTGGCAGACAGGAGCCACTGGGCGCTGCCTGCCCCGCTGTCCTCCCAGGGCAGTGACCGTCACCTCCTCCAACTGGGCAGAGGGGACCCCATACCACATGTAGTTTATCTGAACTAGGGCAGCTGCGGGTGGGCCATCGGCCTGCGGCCCTCGGGGTCCCGCCACGCAGCTCAGCACCCCACTTCCTGCGGCCTCCTTCACGTGGATCTGTCTGTCTCTTCACACATCCCTTCTCCTGGCCCTGGGGAGGTTGTTTGGGTTCTGGGCACGACTGGTTTGCTGACTGGCCAGCCGGGGCCCATCTGTAGCTGCCTGGGAGAGCCTGGTTTGGAGGAGAAGGAGAGTACGCCTCGGAAATGCTTGCAGAGCCCTGGCCGGGGTGACACGTGCTCCCGTACTGTCAGCGAGGCCACCACACCTCCACAGAGCCCACCTGCAGGCATCTCACTCAGGAACGAAGCCAGGGGGCCAGGGGCCATCGGGGTCCCCTTAGCCAGGCCCTTGGTGACACAGCTGAGGGCTACCTGGAACAGCTTCTTAGCAAGGAGGTTTACACCAGGCCAGGCGTGAGGTGGCCTCCGGGAAGCAAAGGCGCTCTGAAACCACAGGGTCAGAGTCAAAGAGGAAGGGGGCAAGGAAGGTCACAAAGGCGGACTCTCCAGAGAAGAAACTCAGGCCTCCGGTGGGCAGCTGGGCCCGACCAGGGTGTCCTGGCTCAGGGCCTGCACTCGCCCCAGCAGGGCCGCATCCACCTCAGCCGAGTTTCTGAGTCGAGCTAAAGTGCCACTCGAAGGCCGTCAGCGCGGCTGTCCCCCAGCGGAGTGCGTCATGTGGCAGCACTGCTGTCCACCCCAGTCAGAGTGGAGCTGGGTGGCCCCAAGTCAGTGCATGGGCAGGGAGACAGCCATGGAAGAGCCTGGCACTCACCGCTGGCCCAAAGGGAGAGCCTGGGGCCAGGTGCTCACGGTGCACACCCTGGGCATCCCAGGAGGGCCAGGAGGGAAAGCAGACAGGTGGAGGGGAGGACAGGCCGCAGCCAAGCAGACGTGTCCACAAGGAGGCCACGCCTACAGAGCAGCGTCCTGGGTCCGACCAGTGCCAGTGCCCCACAGCCAGGCAGCGAGGGTCAGCAAGGGCAGAGACGGTTGCCCTTCGAACAGGCACTGCCCACGGCCACAGGTGCACCTGTCCCAGGGCCTCCCCGCCTGCCGCTGAGTACCGCGAGCCGTCCTGCAATCTGTCCTGGAGCTGTTCTGGGTCAGGGCGGGACCTCCCGGCCGGGCTGGGTTTCTCTGCTGGTCGGAGTCCCCACCAGCTGCTCGGCTGAGCTCCGACCCGAGAGGCCCCGCTACTTGAAATGCTCTTCCCCACCCGCCCGCGGGCTCTGGAGTCCCCTCACCCTGCTGCTCATCCCTGGTCCTCGGGACCTCGAGGCTAGACGACAAGGGTTTACGGTGACACTTGCACTCCTCCTGGGAGCCAGCTGCTGCTCCCCATGCTGTCCCCACACCCAGGACACTACGAGGACAGCGCGGCCTCCTCCAGGCCAGGGCCAGTTCCACTGAAGCAGCTTTGGCTGTGGGGAACGCCCCGTAAACTAGGGGCTGGGGTGCCAGCCTTCCTTCCCCGTCCCGCCTGCATGCCGTCCGCTGAGGCTGGCGAGCTGCCAGGGTGAGGACAGACCTAATTCCTGTCCGCGACTGTCCTGACGACGTCAGGGCGCCTGTCCAGCATTGTACCCTGGGAGGTGCGTTAGGGTCTGCCGAGCAGGAGGACACGCTGTGACAGCAAAGCCCAGGTTCCAAGGGGCTCATGGAGAGCCGGCCCTCACTGTGGGGCTGAGATGCGCGTGGCTGGCCCAAGCTCCCCGGAGCACAGGAGATGGAGCGACACGGGCCGGATCGTCGTGGAGACCAGCTCTCCCTGTGCTCCTGCCTTGCGGGGCTGACAGCGGGGTCTCCGGGAGAAGCACAGAGACAGTGTGCGTGGGCAGGAGGAGGCCCAGTGCCAGTACGCCCCACTCTGCACTGGCTTTGAGCCCGCCCTCCTGGCATAGTGGCTACTTCTCACCGGCTCTTCTTCGCAAACCCGGCCTGTGACCAGGGAGAGTCCTCGCCTCTCACTGACGATCTCAGGACACCAGTGTCAGCATGTCAGCTAGACAGCCCGGAGGACAGCTGTGACCTGTGTGTACTGACACACGCAGAGACGTGGGCAGTCAGACCTCGTGGACGGAGAGAGTGTCCATCAGACGTGGGCAGTCAGACCTCGTGGACGGAGAGAGTGACCGTCAGACGTGGGCAGTCAGACCTGGGGGGCGGGGGGCAGTGACCA